CCAATCTGCAGCCCCATCCAAGCTGTTTGCAGCAGCTTTTCCACATGAACGGCCTGTCCTGGCTCAGGCTTCAGACTTTGTTAAAACCTCTCAAATAAGCTGCAGCTGATAGCAGCATGCCCCAAACTTCTCAATAAAAGGCCAAAGACCCAGCACTAGCACCAGCCTGCTGTGCTTCACAGTTAGGCCTCGCCTGGGCACTTCCTCGCCCAATACCGACAGCAGGCAGCTGCGATCTCTGAAGCCCCTGCCGGGTGGCCAGGCAGCGGCTGACTTTGCACCTCCCCGGAGGCCCTAGAGCCAGAGCATCAGTAGACGCTTCAGACCATCCAGATTACAACTCTACATCCGCAAGCGACACACAATACACTCAAGGGGCGGACTCAGAAACCACCAAAGCCTCACCGAAGCAAGTCCTGCTTGCTCCCCAGGGGGGTCTCCCGCACAGCAGCTCCCCCGCTGAGGTCACAGCCGGTCCTCACAGCCAACTGGCCTGGAGGCCAATTCCTCCCAGTGACAGCAGCAGCAAGCAAGGCTCAACCGCAACAGGACTACGCAGCCCACCAAGGGGTGCACCTAGGGTGCCCAGCTTAGGTGCTGGGGAGGCTGAGCCTCTGGGCCTGCAGGATAGAAGGCCACTCTTCCAACTCCAGGAGGCATGCAGCTCTACCCGATCCATAGAAACAGACACAGGGAAGCAGCCAAAATACGGACACCAAGGAACATGTCACAAATGACAGAAACAGAGAAAGCAAACTACCGGATAGAGAGTTTAAAACCACAGTCATAAGGTCACTCAAGGATCTCCATGGCAGCAGCACACTCGGAGGTCCCGGAGCTGTCTCTCGCTTCAACAGTGTTTGGACGGAACAGACCCAGGGACGCCCGTGCGTCCAGCCTCCGGCCACTCTCCTGCGTCTCATCCAGTCACCACCGTCAGCGCCACCTCCGGGACCAGCCGACACACCGACACACCGTTGTTGTTTTTTCTTTCTTTCTATCTTAACGCCTCGTTGCTGAGCGACAATGAGCTCCTAAATCCGTCGGAATTATTCTGCGGAGGCAGAGGCTTCACCTGGTAAACCCGCACCTGCGGGCCTCCCACACCCACCTCGGGCTGGGCTACTGTTTCCACCGTGACAAGGTGGCCCTGGAGGGCGTGCGCCACTTCTTCCGCGAGTTGGCGGAGCAGCAGCCCAAGGGCGCGGAGCGTTTGTTAAAGTTGCAAAACCAGCGAGGCGGCCGCGTTCTCTACCCGGAACCTTCCCAGGATGACTGGTCCAAAACTCTGGACGCCGTGGAAGCCGCCCTGGCCTTGGAGAAGAGCCTGAAGCAGGCCCTTCTGGAGCTGCATGGCCTGGCTGCTCCCGTGCAGACCCTCACGTCTGCGACTGCCTGGAGAACCACTTCCTGGGCGAGGAGGTGAGACTGATGGAGAAGATGGGCGACACCTGACTCACCTCCACAGGCTGGCTGCCTCAGGCCGGGCTGGGCGGGTATCTCTCCGAAAGGCTCATCCTCAAGCACGACTAGGAGCCTTTGGAAACCAGAAACCTTTCAGAGCCCGCCCTCCCCCCCCCCCCCCTATCCCTCTGGTGTCTCTGACTTTTGCCTGAGCCTCTTCACGAGACTACTTGCCATTCTTTTATCCACCCTGGAGCCCTGTCCCCTGCATCGGACCAAATGAAACAATAAAGCTTTCTGCAGAAAAAAAAAAAAAAAAAAAAAGATCTGCATGAGAGCTTCAAGGGACTTAGTGAGACTTTCAAGGATCTTAGTGAGAATGTCAAAGATATGAAAAAGGTCCAGTCAGAAATTAAGCACACACTGACCGAAACAAAGAATAATTTACAGCCCTAGCTAGTTTGGCTCCGTGGATAGCATGCTGGCCTGCAGACTGATGGGTCCCAGGTTTGATACCAGTCAAGCGCATATGCCCGGGTTTTGGGCTTGATCCCCAGTAGGGGACATGCAGGAGGCACCCGATCAATGATTCTCTCTCTTCCTTGATGTTTCTATCTCACTCCCTCTCCTTTCTTTTGTTCTTTCTTTCTTTTTCTTCTTCTTTTTTTTTTTTTTTTTTTTAATATTTTATTGTTTTTTTACAGAGAGGAAGGAAGAGGGATAGAGAGTTAAAAACATTGATGAGAGAGAATCATCGATCAGCTGCCTTTTGCACACCCCCTACTGGGGATGTGCCCTCAACCAAGGTACATGCCCTTGACCAGAATCGAACCTGGGACCTTTCAGTCCGCAGGCCAACACTCCATCCACTGAGCCAAACCAGCCAGGGCTCGCTCCCTCGCCTTTCTTCTCTGAAATAAATAAAAATATTTTTTAAAATAGCTAAAACCGGTTTGGCTCAGTGGATAGAGCGTCGGCCTGTGGACTGAAGGGTCGCAGGTTGGATTCTGGTCAAGGGCATGTATCTTGGTTGTGGGCACATCCCCAGTAGGGGGTGTGCAAGAGGCAGCTGATCGATGTTTCTCTCATCGATGTTTCTAGTTTTCTATCCCTCTCTCTTCCCCTCTGTAAAAACTCAATAAAATATATTTTAAAAAATAAATGAGTAAAATAAAATAAAATAAAATAAAAAGAATAATTTAGGTATTCAACAGTAGAGCAGAGTACTCCAAGAGTCAAATAAATAATGTGAAATATGAGGAAGCAAAAAACATCCAATCAGAAGAGCAAAAAGAAAAAAAATATGAAGATAGTATAAGGAACCTCTAGGACAACTTCAACTGTATCAACATTTGCATTATGGGGGTGCCAGAAAGAGGAGAGAGCAAGATGTTGAAAACCTATTTGAAGAAATAATGACAGAAAATTTCCCCCACCTGGTGAAAGAAAGACTTACAAGTCCAGGAAGTGCAGAGAGTCCCAAACAAGAGGACCCAAAGAGGCCACATTAAGACACATCATAATTAAAATGCCACGGGTTAAAGACAAAGAGAGAATCTTAAAAGCAGCAGAAGAAAAGCAGTTATTTACCTACAGATGAACACCCATATGACTATGAGCTGATTTCTCAATAGAAACTTGCAGGCCAGAAGGGAATGACAATAACTATTCAAAGTGACGAATCGCAAGGATCTATAACTAAGATTATTCTACCCAGCAAAGTTATCATTTAGAATTGAAGGTCAGATAAAGGGCTTCACAGACAAGAAAAAGCTAAAGGAGTTCATCACCACCAAACCAATATCACATGAAATGTTGAAGGGTATTCTTTTAGAAGAAGAAAAAGATAAAGATAAAAAATATAAACAATAAAATGGCAATAAATACATATCTATCAACAACTGAATCTAAAAATCAAATGAACAAGAAATCTAATGAACAAAAACTGGTGAATAAAATAAAATCAGAGGCATGGGAATATGGAACAGACGGATGAATCTCAGAAGTAAGAGGGGGGAAGGGGAAGAGATTAACCAAAGATCTTATATGCAGGCTAGTAGCCCTGGGCAGGAATATGTGTGCCAGTAGCTCCCGCCCACTGCCCCGCCTCCCTGTGGCCCTCTCCGCCTCCCCCATAGCTTGCTGCCCTGCCCCCTCCTGTAATTCTCCGCCGTCTGCTTGTAGCTCGCTGCTGCACACTCCTGCTGATCCGTGATCTGGTCATTATGCTGTCGGTCTTTACACATCAAGGTGTAACGACCATTTGTATATTACGTCTTTATTATATAGAATTATATAGGATATGCATTACCGATGGACAAAGACAATAGGGTGATGAATGCCCTAGCTGGTTTTGCTCAGTGGATAGAGCGTCAGCCTGTGGACTGAAGGGTCCCGGGTTCCATTCCGATCAAGGGCACATGCCCGGATTTCGGGCTCAATCCCCAGTAGGGACCATGCAGGAGGTAGCAGATCAATGAAACTCATCATTAATGTTTCTATCTCTCTCTCTCCCTCTCCCTTCCTCTCTAAAATCAATGTGGTGAAGACTGGGGGTGGGGCAGGAAGCGGGTGGAGGGGGGTAATGAGGGGGGAAAGAGGGACATCTGTAATATTCTCAATAATAAAGATTAAAAAACAAAAATGAATGAAACTATACAAGCATTAGAAAAAAAAAATCTTCCCTCCTCAAGGCCTTTTCCTAGCTGTGCCTCCACTTGGGATACCCACAGGGTCACAGAGCCTCAAGATGCCACCTCCTTCTCCCCTCCGCCTTCCCATCCTTCCCAAAGCTCCTCCCTCTGGCTTGGTAGCTGCCTGGTGAGTGTTGTGAGTTGAATTGTGTCTCCCCAAAAGGTATGTTGAAGTCCTGAACCCGGATCCTGGGGAATGGGACCTTATGTTGAAGCAGGGTCTTTGCAGTTGTCATTAGTTAAGATGAGGTCCCATTGGAGTGACTGGCATCCTAATGAGGACACACACACACACACACACACACACACACAGGAGGATGGCCATGCGAAGCAGCGGTGGAGGTCAGGGGACACATCTCTCAGCCCAGGGTCACCAATGACCGCTGGCTACACCAGCAGCTGGAAGAGGCAGGAAGGACCCTCCCTGGAGGTTCCGTGGTGAACACAGCCCTGTGATGCCTTGATCTGGGACTCCTGATCTCCGGAATCTGAGACACTGAGTTCCTGTTGTCTTACGCTGCCCAGGGGCTGGCCATTCCTCATGGCTGCCCCAGGAATCTCGCCCAGGGTCGCACAGACGGAGGGGCCGAGCTGGATTCGACTCCACAACTCACCTAAGCTGCCTGGCTCCAGCCTTCCTTCCTCTGCCTCCTCCCTCCTCCCTCTATCACAGCCCCATCAAGGTAAGCAGGACGGGGTTAGGGTTCGGAACTCGGAGTGGCTGGGGCATCATGGGAGTGCAGGTGACCGAGGCTCAGGCAGGGACACTGGTGTGTGTACACGTCTAGCCTGAGCCCTTCACATGGCATCTGGGCCAGTCTCTCCTCGGCTTGGGGACCGGGAGCCGGAGAGCAGGGGGGTCGCAAACCTTACCCACCCGAGGGGCCCGTGGCCCGGCCTCACCTCCCGCAGGGGCCCGTTGAGCTCCCCCAGGATGCTGTCCTCGTCGAACATCTTGCCCTGGTAGCGGTGCTCGTAGTAGTCGTGGATTTTCTGCCGGAAGTCGGCCGGCAGCTTGTGGAAGGACATGTACTGCTCCACCTGCTTGTACTGTGGGGGCGTGAGGGGCCGAGGTCAGTGGCTGCGGCTCTGGGAACCCTGCCCCGGCCTAACTGGGGCCCCGAGTGTCACCACCACCATCACCACGAGCACAAGACCCAGTTACATCTGAATTTCAGATCAACGTGTGAGTGGATGCTGTGCAGTACTGGGGATGTGCTTACGCTGACAGAAGTTACTCCTGTGTCCTACATTGTCTGGCAGCCCTGTCCCTGACAGCGTCACCCCTGGCCCCCAAGATGCTGGTACCCAATTTCAGAGACCCCCAGCTCTGTCCATGGCCCTGGGGCTCCTCCCCGGGATCTTTCTATAAACCCAGGGGATGTGGCCGAGGTGCCAGGCCCTGCTATCCCCCGGGTGGCACCCACAGGGGTGCCCCACCTCCATTTCCACTCCAGCCCCACCCAGCCACAGCTGCCCTGAGCTCAGCAGATCCCGTGATGGTGGGCGGGTGGCAGCACCAGCTCATGTTTGGGTGTGAGGCTGTGGCTTCCGGGCAGCCAGGAGACCTGGCACTGGGCCCAGCTGACCCGGCCAACCCGGCTGGCACTGCTGGGGGTGCTCACAGCTGCCCAGCTGGGGCCAGCCATCCGGTAGCGGTGCAGGATAGATAGGGGCAGCAATGGGTGGGGGCCAAGCTCACCGTTGGCCCTTAGGGAAATGGAGGCACGGGGTAGACATCAAGGCCATACTCCAGAAAGGGCCGGTCTGCGGGGCCGGCACCTGCTCTCCCTCAGCCTTTCCCTCGGGCCCTTGCACTAGCCCTGTGGAGGCTCCCCCAAACCCGAGGCCGGGTCCAAGTGGCTGAATGTATTTGCTCCCCAGTGGCCTCCCCGATGGACCTGGCTGACCAGCATGCACTCAAGTGACCCCAGTCCCCTTGGACCCTGCTCAGTGCCCCCCCCCCCCACCATAGCCCCTCCCAAGCCAGCCCAGAAACCCCAGAATGTCACCTCCTAGAGAGGCCCCCTGTGTTCTCTGCCCCCAGAGAGCTCCCTGATGCCTCAGGGACTGGCCCCGCCCTGTCTGGACCCTGACTTCCATCCCCCTCCTCGGCATACGTCCCTCCCAGGCTCCAGACTTCCCTCTGGGGCCCCCCCTCCCCGCGGAGCTGGGGGAATAGTGGGGTGGCCCCCAGACCTTCTCCTGGTACTGCCGCCTGGAGGAGTCCAGCGACTGGATGAGGGCCGTGGCGTGTCCGATGAACATCGCGTAGCAGGTGGCCCCCACGATCATGCTCAGCATCGTCAGCCAGATGTCGGTCATGCTCTCGGGCGCCTGCCGGCCGTACCCGATGCACAGCATGTGGCTCATGGCCTTGAAGAGCGCGAAGGAGTAGAGCTCGCTCCACGAGTGGTTCTGCAAGGCCACACACCGGGGGCAGGTGGGCCCCGGGAGCTCCCCGAGCCCACGGCCCCGCCCGCCCATCCTCCCCCAGCACCCAACGTGGGGAGCTCCCCGTGCCCCGAGACAACTAGGAAACTAGACGCAAGCAAGCTGAAACCGTTTGGCTCAGTGGATAGAGCCTCGGTCTGTGGACTGAAAGGTCCCAGGTTCGATTCTGCTCAAGGGCACGTACCTTGGTTGTGGGCACATCCCCAGTGGGGAGTGTGCAAGAGGCAGCTGATCGATGTTTCTCTCTCATCGATGTTTCTAACTCTCTATCCCTCTCCCTTCCTCTGTGTAAAAAAATCAATAAAATATATTTTTAACCCCCCCCCCCCAAAAAAAAAAACTATGACGCAGGCGGGTGTGTGACGTGTGCGCGTGTCAGTGAGTCAGCAGCAGGAGCAGGCCTGGAGCTGCTTCCTCGCTTTACCCCTGGGGAAACGGAGGGTCAGAGGCCCCGCCCCTGTGCAGCCTCGGGTCAGAGTGGGTCAAGAGGAAGTGAAAGTTCCAGGGACCCTGTGGACGGTGAGCTGGGGACACCAGAATCCGATCCCAGCCCAGGAGGGTGGAGGCATCTGGCAGGGCCAGGAGGATGCTCTCCCCACCCCCACCCCCACTCCCACCCCAGTCCTCAGTTAACCCGGCGGTGGGAGGGGGGGGGGGTCCATTCAGGAAACAGGACAGCATGCCCGGGTGTCCGGCCAGACAATGAGCTGCCTCAGCCAGGCAGCTGTGCCAGGCGCTGGGTGCGCGCCTGAGGATGCTCCCTCCGCTGTCTCTGGCCCATCAACGCCCCCAGGCCCTCCTCCCACTCCTGCCAGCTCCCGGTGCAACCCACCCCCACCAGCGCCAGAGGCACAGCCCTCAGGGGTGGGAGAAAGGCTCCTTGTGGTGCTAAAGGGCACCTGAGACTCGCCCTGTACAAGAGCGGGCATCTCAGCGAGACAGGGACTGTTATATCTTATGGCCCATGACACCTCCTTCCCATCTGTCTTTTTTTTTTTTTTTTTTTTTTCTGAATAAGTGACGTACATTAGAAAGCAGACTCAATGGCGGGGCAGGGAGCAGATGATATGATGTCCGGGTGACTAAAGTTGTTCCAGTCCCTGGAATGACCAAGGAGCTGCCTGTTCCTGGCCCCGGAGGTGCGCTATTCTGGGTCCCCAGGACGAGGCCCGGGCACTCACCACCATGCCGTTGATGGACACCCAGCAGTTGCGGGGGAAGTCCTGCAGCATGGGCACCAGGAACTGCAGGCAGCCGTCCCAGTGGCACAGCAGCAGCATCATGCTGATGAGGTTGCAGATGCGCATGACCGCGCTCGCCAGGTCGTAGGTCATGTGGAAAATCTGGGGCGTGGACGCAGAGAGGTAGAAGGGAGCTCCCCCACCCCACCCCACCCTGGCCACCACACCGCCCCACAAATCCCCGCCCAGCACCCCACACTCCCAGCAGGCCCCGCTGCCTTCCTGGTGGGGAAACGTCCTCAGGGCGTGTGGGCAGGACCCCTGTCCCTTCCTGTAACCCTGCCCCTGCCCGCTCCCCCCTCGGAGCCTGACGCTGCCCTGGAAACGGGGGTGACATCACTGGGCATGGGCGACCCAGAGGAGGTCCCGACTTGGGGGACAAGGGCTTGACTTCGCTTCCCTGGACCTCGGTTTCCCCACTGCCAAATGGGGCTGTGGAGTCCTCCTCTTACGGGGCAGGATGACGGAAAGGGGCGTAGATGCGTCCAGAGTTCGCGCTGTGTTCCCCGTGACCACAGCCCGTGGGGCCGCCCTGCAGGGGCCCCTGGGACCCCACCGTGCCCCACGCCACACCCGAGTCCTAGCCCCTGTGCCCCTGTGGTAGCCTTGGTGACCCCAGCCCAGCCCTCAAAACCCCTCTCCGGTGCCTGGAACCCCGCCTGCCTCCTCCCTGTGGCCCCGCCCCTGGGCCCTCACGGCCCCGCCCCTACAGCATTGGCCCCGCCCCGGGCCCTCACAGCCCCGCCCCTACAGCATTGGCCCCGCCCCTGCAGCGGCGCCCCGCCCACGCCTCACCTCCTCCCACTGGTGGATGTAGCGGATGAGCCGCGACAGGCGCAGCAGGCGCAGCAGGCTGAGGATCTTGGTGAAGCGCACGATGCGCAGGGCGCGCGCCGTCTTGTAGACCTCGGAGTCGATGCCCTTCTCCACGATGAGGAAGATGTAGTCCACGGGGATGGAGGACACGAAGTCCACCACGAACCATGTGCGCAGGTACTTCTTCTTGATCTTCTCCGGGTCCAGGATGATCTCCGTGTTGTCCTCGATCACGATGCCCGTGCGGAAGTTCAGCACCAGGTCCATGAGGAAGAACGTGTCCGAGACCACGTTGAACACGATCCACGGGGCCGTGGTCTCATCCTTGAAGAAGGTGATGCCCACCGGGATGATGATGAGGTTGCCCACCATGAAGAGCAGCATGGTGAAGTCCCAGTAGAACCTGGGGAGAGGCCTGGCGTCAGCCCCGGAGCCCGGCCCGCGCCACGCGCTCCGCAGGCCTGCCCTCCCCACTGTGCACATGCGCCTTCGGGGACCAGCCCAGATCTCCCCTCCTCCAGCGAATCCCAGGCCCCGGTGTCACAGTCTCTATCTCCAGGAAGCCCTCCTCCACCCAAACCACTTACAGAGCCCTGCAGCCAGCTGGGCTCTCCCAGCCCCAGGCCCTCTGGCTGGCTCAGTTCTAACCTTCCCTCCACAAAGAAGCTCCAGAATTCACAAAGCCTAAAAAAGAGGTCACTCAAAAATGGACTAAATGTTTCCTTTGACCAAAAAACACCCAATGTGCAAGGCATAAGGGTGGAGTCCGAGGGACAAGGAGAGGGAGCTAAGCAGAGAGAGGCCAGGGTGTGGGGGGGAGTGGGTGGTGGTGGCAGGGGAGGAGGAGCAGGATGGTGGGTTCAGGGGGGCGCCAGGGGTTGGAGAGGGCAGGGTGGGAGCTTGATCTGGTGGATCCAGGATGCCAACCTCAGCAGGTGGGCTTCCCCGTGCCTGTACTTCCATTTCAGGAAGCGCCCTGAGTGCTACAGACAGGGAGGCAGCAGGGGTGCCAGTCCAGCGGGGGAAAGAGGTGGGGCGGGGGCAGAGGGCCGGGCCTGTGGGAGGAACCTTGGCAGCTGCGCGGATATTTGGTGCCATAAACACGCCTGGAAAAGTGATGATGGGCTGCTTCTATTCCCACATACGGAATCCCAAGGTCAATTCAGAAATTCCACCTGGAAAGTGCTCTCAGAAAAGGGCCCGTCCACTCAAGGAATATCTGCAGACGGCCAAGCATGGTGTCCTGAATAAAGAGTCATGAGAACATACAGACACAGCAACAGGCCACCAGGACAAACTGCCGGCCCCGCAGCCACCAAGAAAATGGGAATCAAAGTCACTCTGAGAGAGAACTGCCAGTTCCTCAAAAAGTTAAACGGAATCACCATATGATGCAGCAATTCCATCTTAAGATTGAAAGAAGGGTCTGGCTGGAAGGCTCAGTGGTTGAACCAGGAGGTCCCAGTTCGATCCCAGTCAGGGCACATGTTCGGTTGCAGGCTCGTTCCCCAGTGTAGGGTGGGGCATGCAGGAGGCAGCCAATCACTGATGTTCTATCTCTCTCTCCCTTCCTCTCTAATATATATATGTAATTTTTTTAAAGATTGAAAGAAGGGACTCAAACAGGTGCTGTGCTCCATGTTCACAGCCTCACGATTCATAACCGAAAAGGCGGGAACAACCCAAATGCCCATCACTGATGGCTGTGGTCCACCACCTGCGGGAATATTACTTGGCTGTGAAAGGGAATGAAGCACTGACACAGAACATGTGTGTAAACTTTGAAAAAATGATGCTCAGTGAGAGAAGCAGACACAAAATCGCTCAGCGTGCGATTCCAATTATGTGAAACATCCGGGACAGGCAAATCCATAGACACAGGAAGTGGGTTCCTGGCTGCCAGGGGTGAGGAGAGGGATAGGGAGTTTCTGTTTTGGAAAAGGAAAATGTTCTGGACATGGATGGGATGAGGAGTGCACAACACATTGTGACTGTACCCAATGCCACTCAACTGTACACTTTCAAATGAGTAGATGCCCAATTTTATGTCACACACACACACACACACACGTTAACATTATAAAAATGAAACGAAGCCTGGGATCTCAGTGGTGAGCAGCTGCCCCAGATCACAGGCCTGAGCCCACCCCTGCTGCCTAGATTCAGGCAAAGGAGGGTCTCGAATTTGAACAATTACGTGACTTTGCCTTTAATGTGGAGGGAAAGGCCCCCCTACCCCCCATCATGTCGGTCCTCTCAGGTGGCTCTCGAGGTCTTCACTCCCCAGTGGGTTTGTGCGGGCCCTCCTGTGGGACCAGCACGCTCCCCCTCAGGGCTGGAGACCCCACGCTCACTGGGGGAAGGCTCTGTCCCATGTAGGTGGGCCATTGCCCGGAAGGACCCTCAAAGCCTGCAGCTCCCTGGGCTCCTCCCAGACGGACAGAAGAAGAAACCGAGGTTCTCAGTGGCTGGAGGGACTCGCCCTAACTCGCACACATCAACAAAAAGCCCTGAGCCCTCGCACCGGCTTGGCTGCAGGGAGCTCCCTGCTTTGGTAGCTGCTGTAAATTGGCTCCTTGCTGGAGGCACCGTGAGAGCTATTAACACCGCGCCTGCCGGCTGGTGTTCCACTCCAGGGAATTGATCCCAAGGAAACTGTCCAAGAGGAAGAGAAAAAAAAAATTAAAAAGTTATTTGCACCAACATATTCACAACAGCTCGGCCTGGGAGAGCCAAAGGCTGGAGGAGACCCAATGTCTAACCCTGTGGTGGTGGCAGGAGCAGAGCTGGCTGACACCTGCTTTTGCCCACGGGCAGGTGTGACCTTGGGCACGTCCTTCTAGTCCTTGGGAACCTCAGTCTCTCTATTCATCGGAGGAGCCCCGGGCGTGGCAGCCTTGGAGGGTCCTCCTGGGGAACTGCCCCACCCACGTGTGAGGGGACCCTCTCGGAATGGCCGTGGGTGCTCTGGCCACGATGGGGAGGGCACCAGGCTTTGGGGGAGCCCCGGACAAACCCATCAGGGTTGGGATAAAGACCTAGAGAGAGCTGAATGGCTGACCTGACCTGGGGGTGGGTGTGAAGGGCAAAATCAAATGACTACTAGAAATTCCAGACCTTTTCTCACCTGAATCTGGACAAGGTGTGGGGCTCAGGCCCCCCATCTGAAATACCCACTCATCCTTGAGACCCCAAGGCCTCAACATCCAATGGGATGGAGGAGCCCCACCTGCTTGCTCCTTCTCGTCTCGACTCCCAATACCCAGAGCTTCCACTACAGAGCTCCTAATCCCATCCCCACCCCCGCTGAATGAGAACTGCTGCCCCCATTTGGGGCATACACCCTGTTACAGAGCAAGCAAGGAAGAGTAAAGAAGGCGGGGGGGGGGGGCTCGAAACCACCAGGGGGTCTAGAAACTATCTAAATGGCCACAGAGCCCTGGTTGGTTTGGCTCAGTGGATGGAGCATCGGCCTGCGGACTGAAGGGTCCCGGGTTCGGTTCCGGTCAAGGGCATGTACCTCGTTTGCAAGCACATCCCCAGTGGGGAGTGTGCAGGAGGCAGCTGAATCGATGTTTCTCTCCCATTGATGTTTCTAACTCTCTATTCCTCTCCCTTCTTCTCTGTAAAAAAGCAATAAAATATATATATATTTTTAAAAATGCCACAGAGCATGAGGGCATCCTTGACATGAGAATTCTCCTGACAATCTTTCCTTTCATTCTTGGGGTGAGGGAGGCAGGGACAGGCACCACACTACCCCACTGACAGACGAGAGAGGTGCCCCAGCCAGGGAGCCGGGGCAAGGAACTGGAACCCAGAACTGCCACCCCAGGGCCTGTCCTCTGTCTACTTTCCCGCTGTCTGGCACTCGGCCCGCAGGCTGAGCCCCAGCCCGGTCACATGCTGTGCACGGTCCTCCCACTCTGCGTGGTGTCCCCTGGGCTTTAGGTGCTGGCGCAGAAGGCAGGGGGCAGAAGAGGGGCTGATGGGCAGGATGACCTGGTACTCTGCTCCAACTGGGTGCCCCCAAATTGGCCTGGGGCCTCGACCCTTTGTCCTCTCCAGCCAGCCTGGTCCCCCCCCCCACAAGGGGAAACTGAGACTGGGGGTAAAGAAACTGGGTGGAGGGTAGAGGAACCCAGGGTATGTGCCCCAGCACCCTCACCTTTTCCTTGCCCTGCCCACCCCTTGAACCATGCAGCCAGGGGCTAATCACTCTCCTTCTCTGAGCCCCAATGCCTCATCGCCCAATCCCAGCAGCCCCTTCCTCAGCGGGCACCCAGGTACCACCCGGATGCAGGGGCTGCTGGGACATCGTCAGGCAGCAAAGCGGGACGGATGCACAGTCAGCCCTGGTACCGGCACCTCCAACGACCACAGGTAAGTCCTGTGTGTAAAATGCTCCCTAACAAACCACACTGGGGCCCTTGCTTCTGTGGAGGCACCCAATCCTGGCTGCTCTTCCAGGAGGGCAGTGGACGGACTGGCCAGTTCACACCTTGTTCACGGAGAAAAGCAGGCCAGAGAGACACAGCGAGTGGAAGGCTCAGCAGCAATGGCCCCTGGGCCCAGACCCCAGGCCCAGGCTCCTCAGCCCCTCGCCCTAAGGATGGGAGAGGGCCTGGAACCTCCTCCAGGAGCACCCCACAGGCTGGTGACCTCACAGGGGCCCTGGTGGCTGCCACCACCATGAGCTCAGTTCTCCTCTAGCAGCTGCCCAGCTGTTCTCTGGGCGCAGACGGACCCTCTGAGGCGTGGCCGGTGCTAAGTGACAGGACCCACGCAGCCAGGCTTCCCGGCAGGAACTGGGTTGAGGCCCTCACAGCCACTGGTGGGAGACACGGCGGCCAAGGCAGCCGGCTCCCTCCCTCGGGGACGCAAGAAGCCAGAGCCGTGGGAATTACAGATCCGGCAGATCGGAGGGATTAGGGGTCATGTCGGTGATTAAGGGAGAGCAGGACGGAGGATTAGGGGTCTGAGCCCTCGGATGCAGAGCGACAGGGGAGGCGAGTGTCAGGGATTAGGAAAGGGATACTCCTGCCAGGGAAGAGGCCGGATTCCCAGCTTACCCCGAGCCGGGGTGGACTGTGGGGCTGACGGTGTGCCAGGCCATGAGGACACACGGTGACCAGTCAGACTCGGCCCTCCCTCAGGCCCAAACTCGGGCGGGGAGACAGGTGTTCCACACAAACAGATAAATGAAAGGGGTGCTTCTGGGAGGACTTCTTGAAGCAAGTGGCATTTGAGCGGATTATGGAGGACCTGGTTGGGGGTGAGGGGCACTGCGCCATAGCAGACGGAGCAGGAAGTGCAAAGGCCCTGTGGCTGCAGTGGGGTTTCCCCTTTCAAGCTGGCTGGGCAGCCTGGGGCTGGGGCGAAGGGGAGGAAAGAAGCGGAGAG